TGTTATGCATAATTTGACAAATTCAAAAGGGTACATTTTACTATTGCTTTCGACTCCCCCCTTTTTGATTGTTTAAAACGTGAAATTGTATTTTATAGAAATCTTAGCTCCCGGTTTTGGTTGTGGTCTCCCTTTTGAATAATAATTACTATGGGTTCACGCGCGTTTACTTATAGTAGCGTGTTGTTACGTAACATCCGTAAGTGGAATTTTTCTCGAAATTCGTGACATTTTAATGAAACATCTATACACCAGACAATCTTTGTAGAAATATTCTTGCATTAAAATTCGGCTCAAATAACTGAACAACTAAGTACAAGAAATCTTAACCGAAAGAAAAACAGTTAAATCTAAACAGACAACAGAATAAATAATAGAATTCCGTTTTATACAATTTTTTTTTTTATCGAATGTGTGTTCTGAACAAAAACATTTGTCCATTTATCTCAAAAACACCGCTTTAATATTTTTAGATAATTTCGGGAACTCGCGTTGACTGACGTTGACGGCGTGCGATAATGTCGTAGGTGTAGCTATGTTACACGTATAACTTTACTATAAATATCAATAACACAGTGAAATCGAGCTACGTTGTTTCCAATTATAAAAAATAAAGTAGTAGTAAGGTACAAAATTCACTCGGACGATATTGGAGGGTACGTAACAATCCAGCGACTACGGCTATGTGCATAATACCGTAAACCATTAGCAAATCAGCTCTGCTTCGTTGATCCGGAAACAGAGGCCAATATCCATGGTAATAGGTGTATTATTAGGGTGTACATGAAGACGTCTCAAAGTTAATTAAGTAGTATAGATTTGTATGTTCTATTCCGTAGTAAAACGCTACATAAAACCGATAAATTTGGCATCACTGTTTTGGCGAAATTTTAGACCCAGCGTTATTGTCTGATTTACTTTAGCAGTAAAACGCTGTATAAAACCAAAAGATTTAGCCGCTTTGATTTGGTTACTTTTTTAAACTTTTTTTTTATTTTTCAAATTTCGTGGTATTATTAATATAAAATTATTTTCAAGTTTTAGTCGCAAATCAACCATCTAATAAACACATCGTTTGATTAATAATAAACATTCTTGTCTATAATACTTCAACGATTGGACGAAGTTTCAGTAAAAATTTTGATTTAGCCATTATCCGAAATTTGACAATTTATTATCGACCACGCACTCATTCCTGAGTTTATTCAGAATAAGGAGAAAAAAATAAGAAAGAGAAAAACAGAAATAACAGAAGAGACAACTGAAATAGAACGGGAAATAAAGCGCTATAAAAAGAACTATAGGAAAATTTCACCATTAAAGCTTTTATCAATCGTAGAAAGTAACAAATCATTTAATGACACTTTGTTTAATTTAGATTTCAATACATCTGAGAACGACCCTGTTATTGAATCAAATACCGATTCATCAGACACTTATAAATGGAAACTTTGTGATCTCATTCTAAGGCACGAGGTTTACGTAGGTCTGATCGGAGAGAATGTAAAGGACTACGATAGCGACTTTGATATACAATGTATTGAAATTAGTGAAAATGCCTCCGACTTCTATTGTGTGGATATCCGAAGGGCACAGCCCAAGCCTAAATTTATTAACTATTAAATAATATCTAATCGCACATTTTGTATGATCTTGTTATACATTATTTATATTTTCCGCACACCAGCCGATGAGAAAAAAGTAGATACAATTACTCTCAAGATGTATACAAATGTAATAACGAAATTATGTAAATAGCCGTGGCTATGAACGTCGGGTTACGACGTTCAAAGTGAAGACGTTAAGTTTAATTAAAACATATTAATGTCATGTTAGTTATAAGTATAGTCATATAAGTTAGTCATAAGTATTTTTAGTTGATTTAGTAAATAATTATTAATAAATTTAAGGTTTACTTAACTTTCAATGTCGTTTCTTTGTGATATCTTGTGATTAAAGTAAAATTTTTGTTTGAAAAGTTGTACACAGGCACAAAAAATAAATAAGCACACATAGTAAAACCAAACAAATTATCACTTAGTACACTAATTTATGGTAAATACTTACCGATAAATTATATTTTATTTTGATTAATCTATTTTATAATGATTAACTTATTCTAAAATAACTTATCTGGCATATTCATACATTTTGAAATGGCATCCCATGTACTCGTCTTTATATTATCATTGCAGTACGACTTTTGGGTGTAATTATAAAGGTAATCGTATTGTTCGACCTTTTCCACAAACTTTATATTTTTGTCTTCATACATTTTTAAAATTAATTTCAAAATTTTTTTTATTTCAAATTTGCGAGAATGCAGCACGTTGTTTAGGAATTAATATTGACAACACGCGCGCCGCACGAACCGGTCGTTGGCAGTGTTTCTACTGTTTCTACGCGAAATTTTATAAGTTACAATATATATAAGAACTTCAGTCTTGTGATCTTTACATGGAAAATGTAAAACATTTTTAGAAAAAAATTTAAAAAATCGTCAACTATCAATAAAAACACATCAGGATTAACAAAATAAATAGAGAATGATTTTGCCACAGAAGGTAGAAAGAATAAAAAATGGTACATAAAATAGTTTGGATGAATCAATGCACCTCTTGATTTTAAACTAATCAAATCAGCTCTATTGCAATTTCAGAAATAATGCCACACGTACATATTGGGGCAAGATTTCTGGTATAAATTGTTATCATAGTAAATATATATAAAAAAACATCATAAAACCAATATATTCTTTGCTACACTGAGAATCTAAAAAGTTATTTCAAATAATATATTAAAAAATTAGATTAATTTCACATAATTTTTCACTCAAATAATTTTCGTTAAAATTTAATATTTAAATTCCTCTATAAAAAAACATATTTCATAAAACTGCATTTTTTTTTTTTATTTTTAATATTTTTTACAGTTTTAGACTTTTAATGAACCTCCTGTTAAATTTTCATGCATGTCCGTTAATTCTAATTATTTTTACCATACAGTACCTACCGAATAAAAATTATGTATAAAACTCGCAAAATTAAAATATTTATAAATAGCACAAAAATTGCTTACATTTTTTGAAAATTTGACCACGTCTAAAAAAGGCAAATATAAGTTTTCTGTCCAAATTTCAAGTCTTTACGAATATTTTTAACTGAATTACAACAAATAACAAAATGGAAAAAATAATAAAAATATTATTTTCATAAATTTCTCATTTTTCTTACGTTTTATCCTGGTTTTCCCCAGATATTATGAAAACCGCTTGAAAAATCGAAAAATGACCTACCAAATTAACTATCTGGACAATATTCATTTTCAGAAATGGTGCCATGCGTAAATATCGAAGAAAGATTTCTGGTAGAATTTTTGTATGCAGTATATAAAAAAAAAAAAAAAACATCTTTGTAAAACACATCCTTTTCTACACTCAGAAACTAAAAAATAAATAAATAGTAAGATATTCGGTGTAAGTTATCTTAAAATAAAAATGAATCGATATTTTGTTGGTAACGCCATAACTTGAAAACGGATGAACCGATTTGACTAAATTTTTTTTTTGTTCTTGTGTTCGTAATTATCAGGGAAAAGCTTCGGGACATTTTTGGAAAATTCGCCGGAAAAATCGTAAATTTGGATGATATTTTCTATAAAAACCTCAACATTTTTTTAAAAATTCATTCGTATTATTATAATTGACGTCCAGTTTTTCCGTCACATATTTACATAACAATAGCGAATTGTTGATAAATAGAAATAAAGGTCTGTGTGAAAGAAAATGTTTGGAAAATTATCGAAAATTTTTTTAATTTAGGCGGTATTCAAGTTATGGCGTCATCAACAAATTATCGATTCATTTTCATATACCTATACTTATATATATACCAGATACCTATAAAATAACAATCGCGTTATTGATTTTATATACATATAAATTGTCGCAAGTACGCACATAAAGGCATAAAAGGAACGCCGTTGCTTCTGCGAGCAACAATTATAATACCAGTAAAATGTTTGGCTGCGTTATCACTTAATAAATTCATTAGATTTATACCATATCTGTTATCATAATTTATGTCAACATTTTTAATTTTATAGTTTATAATGTTTATACCAATAATTTTGTCAAGTGATAAATGATGTACTAAATGTTAGTAATATTTATTATTATTGTTTATTAGTTTATTATTTATATTGTATATAAATAATCAAATACACCGTGAATATGAATACTCTCACTATATTAACATCTTCAAATCCAAATAAATGCTTTGCTTTGTTTAATTTACCGGAGGTTTTGAGATTTCAGTTTTATGATTGATTTTGTTTTTGGTTGAGTAAAGCCGAATCTGAAGATTAAATTTTTGTAACGTTGATATCTTCAACTGACGTAAGTTGTATTTTTCTCCTTCATTCATGCAATAACTACATTTAATTTTTTTCCTATTTTGATCACATGATGAATTTGTTGCGCTTGGACCCAAATTAGTTTTTGCCTAATTTTTATTTTCAAATTTGATCAGTTTTGTGGCGATTTGTAAAAGCTACATTCATGTTCAAATTTGGCGCGCTGATGTGATTCAATCTATGATAACAGATAAATTTGATAGTATTACTAAGTGATAACATAGCCAAAAATGCTACAATGAGACTATAGACTATAGAATGATATTACTCAATGAATGAAACACTCGTGTTTCCAGTCATGATACCTAATACCAATATAATAATAGGTATAATATACATATATATATCTGTGGTTCTTGTATATCATAATTCGTGGTATATACTATGTGATAAGGTGCAATGACTGATTGTATGATAAAAAAATTGCTCTCCAGGTGCAACTGTCCCTAGAGACACTCGTTTTTCCGAATACTATTTCTACCAGCATTTGTTCTAAACTTCAATCGACCTCAACTTTAATTCTTCGTAAAAAAGTAAAATTCGTATTAATGGTTGAAACGGTTCTCTTCACCAAACATAACATAAATAAATAATTATTTCTTTTGATTGGCAACATTGGTGTGATAATAACTATCGAATGTCTAATAGACGGAAACATAGTAATTTGTATCTTATAATATTCAGAATCAGAATACCATTTGCTTTATTACCTTGCTGATTGTTGTGTACACGAATTACATAGCTGTCGAGTTTAACCACAACACGCCCAAGTGCCAAAATTGTTTGGTATTTAAACAGTTACTTGAAAGGTAAGAAAATCGTCCTACTGTTATTTTTATTTTTTATTATACATTTACTGTATTTTAATGATTCGATGCATAATTATTACGATTGTTTGATTCATACTTTATTTGTAAGTAAGGTACCTATTAAATATTTGTATCAATTTGAATTGTTGTCTTCGTGTTTTATGATTCAGAAAAAGTACATAGTTCATATTTGAGTTTGAATAATTTAAACAGGGTTAGGAACGTTTATTTTAAAAATAAATGTACTCGCATTTATTGATTTTGAAATAGAATACATTTGTGTTCAAAATTCATTTTTGCAAAGGACGCATTAATATTCACATTTACCAAACAAATTAATGTATAATTTTAAATTTTCTAAAACATAATATCGAGTTTATGTAGTCTTCATCTACTTTTCCTTTGCTTTCTTCTCAACTATACGGGGTCGGACACCCTCGTCTTAAACTTTCATTTGAGCCAATCCCTCAGACACTCACCGTCCACATGTCAGTTAATTATGATTACAAGTATTTCATTATATATTGTTTAAGCAGTTCTTATCAATTTAATAATGAAAATTGGAATTCTACATATTTTATAGATTAATATTTTTATATTGTACACGTTCCGCCCGGTGTTGCCCGTATCAAAAAAAATAATAGACATAATTTTATCATTATATGCTATTACCATAGGATACTATTCAGCACAGGAATTGCACTACAATACTTAATAACAGTTTTTTTTTCCATCCATATCATTAAGTAAATTTTTGTACCTAAAAACAAAACTTTAGGAGGTGAATTTTAATAACTATATTTGGACAATATGGAACATTTTGCGAAAAATGCTATTGAATTTACCTACTCATGATGAATTCATTGAAAAATATAGGCATACATTCTAAACCCTGATTTTGAATGGTACCCAGGTTCCTTTCATTGGCATCTCCTCATTAATTTGTAGACAATTAGAAGTCTGTACCAAAATATTTTTTCATTTTAAATGTCCAATGATAATTTCCTACGTTGTTATTTTCTATTTACAAAAGATGTATTAATGATTTATATCCTTGTTGAATTTTAGCTGAGAAGATTTTAACTTTTAACTGAGTAAATTTAACTTGATAATAAATTTTAACTGAGTTATTTTTTTTTAAGAAAATGTCAAAAAGTGATCGTATAATATTTCTAAATGTGTCAAGCTAAAATTGTGTGTTGTATATTATATTTTAATTAGAAATGAGTTTTATAAATTATTATCCACTAATGTTATATTATTTTATAGGTATAGATTTGTTTGATTTGCCTGAAACTAACAAAAATAATAATGACTCTGTTAAAAACGTTTTGGACCCCTATAGTTGTTTATCCCGATGTAAAAACTGGTTGCAAATTTGTAGCTGCCTACACAATTGTAAGTTATTAACACATTTTTACTTTTCCATTTTATACTTTTTTTTTTCATTTGTAGGCTGTATCTATTTTTTTAATGGCCCTGATTGTACATATGCAAAATGGAGGTGAATCAACTCAAATGTATAATCCATTTTTTGAAGCAAATTTGCGTGGTAAATATTAAAAAAGATAAATTTAATTTTTAACTTTGTTTCGCTTATATATTTCTATTAAATAATAATAATATAAATATTCATTTTTACAACATTTTCATATAAAAATTAAATTTGTATAGTTAAAATAAATATAAACATTTTACAATATACAAATACATTTTTAGAGTATATAAAAAAAAAAGAAAAATTATTTTAAACATTGATTAATATTAAAATATATTAATCAATCGAAATTTGTCAAAAAAAAAAATTACTTTGTTAACGATTTTAAAATTATTGTTTGTAACATTTTATAATTTTTACTAAATTACTAATCTCTTTTTATACTAGACTAGTTTAATTTTTGATTTTCAAAGTGCAATATTTAATTTTAACTATACATTTTACTGTTTATACATTATAATACTGTAAACTTACATATTAGGATTGTTTATATGCTGTTTATAATATCATAAACATATTTATTTGTATTAATTGATTAATTGTATAATTTTAAGTTTTAGTAACTGACAAATATAATTTAAAAATAACTTGGTTACTATCCAGTTAACTGCAAAACAAATTATATCCTTATGTGTTAATATAATTAAAATTTACACCATATTATATTCTGTTCTTAATTTTAAACTGTTTTAATTAATTTATTTTTATTTGTTTGTTTATCTAGAAATTAACACTTATGTAATATTCACATTAATATTTTTTGCCTATATGGTGGGCTCGTCTCTATTGTTACTGAAAGGTCTAAATAACAATCTCCGAGGATTCCTTTTACCGTGGTTGATTGGTATGTGTTTTGTCGTCATATTTTTGTTGGTTTGGTCCATTTGGTTGCTATACGGATACTATATATATGTAAGTTTGATTCCAGTTTAAGCGACATGCTATATCCTATTAAAACTAGTGAAATTTAATGAAATCTCAAATAAAATAGTAAAATAATAAAGTAAATACAAAATTTATGTATACAAATAAAATAATTAAATGAATGAATTTGTCATCTGGAGTATTATGATAAATGTATTGTATGAATTCCTTCATTTAAGTTTTTACATTCAGTCGCGTTTACATTTTGACTGTGATATACCTGATGATGAATTTTTAATTTGAAACCGGTCATATAATACATTTATCATAATACTCCAGACGACAAATTCATTCATTTATTTATTTTTTTTATATATATACATTTTTTATTTGTATATTTATTTACTTTATTTTAAATATTAAAATCATGTAATTGTTGTAAATTGTTAAAAAAAATTGTTGAAATTCTAAAAGAAAAATATTGAAAATTATTCATTCATGAATATAATTAACTAGATGTTTTCAATAAGATAATAATGTTTGACATGTTCAATTGAGTTGATCCAAACAATAAAAATTAAAAAATTAAGTGTATTACTTTTACTTCTCCGTATAAAAAAAAATATATATGTTATTGAGTTTCAACATAAAGAAAAGAAAAATAAGTATTTCACTTTTTATAATCTAGGTGATGATGTAAAATATATTAAGATGTACGTACTCTGCATGTATCTATTTGTTTTAGATGAATTTCACATTATTAATAAATTATATGTTTTTGTTTTTGTAGATTCATATTGTGTGTGCTGCAGTGATTTATTGGATTGTAGCTGCTTTGCAAGTATGTTAATAATACTCGAACCTAATTTATGTTTAAAAAAAATAAAAACAAAGTCTGACTTTCCTTTTTAGTATGTCGTTCCTAAAAGTATATTTAATTAATAATAATAATTGTTATTATTAGTTAAAAATAATTTAAATATATTATCATTGAGGAGACAATAGCCATATCTCGTAGATAAATTCCAAAAGTTCTATCATAAATGAATTAATACTTATATTTTGCAGTGTTGTGAGCGTATTATCAAATTCAAGTTCAGGTTGTAATCAAAGATTAAACACAGTAATTTATATAAGTAAATTTTATTTAACTGTTGAAAATAATCAAACACTTTTTTTTATTTAATTTTATAATTTGAAGGGAATGAGAAGACACCCTTAACAGCACTCATTATTCTATTTATTTTTATCTAAAGGCTTTGTCACTGTAACTAATGCATAATATAGAATAGAAACTCAATCAGATGATAGATTTTTGTTTGCCTGTGATTTGAAGTCTTAATCAATAAATTTGTTTTCAAACTAAACCAATGATATAGGTTTGTTTTTGCTCAAAGTAAACCATTTACTTAACTCGAGAAGATATAGAGTGTTAATAGCCTGCTGTCACCAATCTTCTTTTTGTTCTCTTCATTGATATATAATGTGGTAGAGTTAATATCTTTCTTGAGTTATCTATGATTATGATCGCTTTTAAGCCTTGGTTTCCTACAATCGCGCATCCATGATTGCGCGATGCGTGATCATGCAAAAGTTGAAACCATGAAAAGTAATGTTTGTGTTTATTAATAATTCACGCACTTCAGTCGCGCAGTAGTCGTTACGAGGGCAACTTTTGCATGACACGCAGTGCGGGATTGCATTATTTTATATAGGTACCCATTATTTAAATATTAATTTATTAATTATTATTAAAATATTTTTCAATATAATAAATAATTCAAATGACACTCTAAAATATTCCCTGAATCTAGTTTCATTGTCAATTAGGCGCATTTGAATTAAAGTACTGAAACAACCCTCCCTGCTCCGTTGACTAAACATTTCATCATTTTTATTACGTAAATGATTCGCAAGTAGCAATAGTTCTTCATCTGCTTCATCCTCCGAAATAAAAAGCATAACCACGTCCATTTTGATGTACTACTAAACACCAACTGACGAAAACCATACAGTCGTAAACTTGCATCATAGCAAAACATTTCCATCACACATCACGCAAGTGTGATCACGCATCGCGCACCACACAATCACGGATGCAGGATTGTAGGAAACCAAGGCTTTACTTTCACCATTTATATATGCCATATGATATTTCTAATAAATTTGGTTTTTATTTCCATCAGCTTGATGATTTTATTTTTAAGTGGTCTATAAGTTAAATAAATATACTGTGTACCCAGTTCCGAAACAAGTATTGCAATCATAAAATAGTTGACATGTATGAAACTGAAAAATAATAATTAAATACATTCTTGTATTTTCATTAATTACATATGACACGGTAACAATTATATTAGTTATGTAATTCCTAGTTAAATATTGTTTCTTCACATATCTCACATCTGTACATCTGATGTACATGGAAGTATTGCTGGCTAAGAACAAAAAAAAAGTTAGTCATTTTATGTATGTAGTTCTTCACATTTTGTTCACCATTTTTAAATGAAGTTTTTTCTACAAAATTTTAATTTGTTGGATATATGCTGGAGAAATTTAATAACGTTTACAACTTCATGGACATTTCCTTTTTAATTGAAAATTAATATGCAAGATATCCATTAGAGTGACGAAACTGATTTCTACTTTTCTTTTTATAATATTGAAAAAAAAATCTTTTTAACCGATTATTTAACTAAAATAGGTACCATATTATATTTCTTCTAATATTTTTACGATACTCGTACAAAAAGGAAAGCCAAAAATAAATCTATATTATATTATTAACATTGATTTTTTTTTTTTTTTTAGTTCTATTGTTGGTTGTGTGTTTACACCCAATACCGAGCGATCTATGAAATGCAATCTCCAAATATTGAACTTCTTATATTCTAATGAATTGTTACACATAAGTATTCAGCGGTATTCAGTTAATGATTTTTTTTCCCATAGACAACTTTTGTAATATTATCTCACTACCTATATTACATAAATATTTTTTTACTTTAGTAATTAATAACTAACAAATAATAACAAACCACTTATTAAAGACTGCCATTAATTTGTAAGCATTGAACTAATTATGTCAATAATGTAATGATCCGTCCAATTTTTTAATTTATTTTTTTTTTTTATAATGTGCCTTAAAGTATTATAAATTATAATTTTTAATTATAAATATATATTAAGTACAGTAGATTTTAGTTATGCTGAATTTTAAGTAGATTCAAAATAAGTTAGTAATGAAAATATATAATTTAAAAAAATTACATTTAATTTATATTTTATGTATACAAGGTCTTTCAATTTATATGGTATAGTTTCAAGGAGTTCCCATATTCCTACTATTAGAACTAGAACATACAATTTGAAAGACTTCTTATATACAAATCTGTAATGTTTATTTTTTTAAGTTTTTCAGCAATTTGTATAACATTGACATAATACAATTCTTAATTGTAAAATTTAAAATTTAAATAAATACAAATTAAGGTTTTTTAATTTAGGATTAATAATTGTAATAAATACCCTCATTATAAAATGATTTGGCCTAATGTGAAATTCCAGATGTTAATCCTTGAATATTTAAACACAATGAGAATCTACTGTACATATTGTATTTTTTTTTGTGTTTTTAATAATAAACTATTTTTATATATTTTATAGTGTTTCGTTTTGTTTTTTTTTTTTTTTTTTTTTTTTGTACAAGTTTAGGATAAATTTGATTAATATTTTCTATAGCTATTATACTAGAAACCAAATCGACAAAACTGTTGCATATTTAAAATTTTAAATAAAATGAACATTAAAAATCAATTTATAAAGGTTGATTAAGAAATTCAATTAGTTAGTAATAGTATTAATTAAAATTCAAAATGTTATCAAAAAAAAACTGATATACTTCGCATGGTAGGTGGGCCACTGTTGTAGGTGAGTAGTTGGAAAAGTAGGATATATAGGGAAACTTAATGTATTTCTGTACGCGGCGATTAATTTTTGCTATTGAAAAACAATTTGATGAGTTCAATTATACATGTTTGATAGTAATATTTACAATTTCATCAAAATTTGATATTAAAATACTTATGAAAAAAAAAAATTACATTTAAACTCAATTTATTCTTGTTGACCACTAAGTACAACTTATTATGAACCTCTTATTAAATTGTCAAGCATTTCTGTTTTATCTAACATTTTTATCCACAGAGTACCTACCAAATAAATATTATAAATATTACGTAAAAAACTTGAAAATTGAAATGTCTAATAGCAGAGCTGCCACTTGTGTACTATTATTATTATTCACTTTATTATACCTGAAAAATAATTAACTCCTAAACATTTAATTACATTCACAGAATTTAAAATGTAGAGGAACACACTTGCAAACCAAAACATTACATTAAAATCACCATTTGATGGTTTGTTGAAATGCAATGAAGATCTACATAATGTTATAGCATAACATACATTGTTTATTTAAAATATTGTGTACCACTTTACCAGTTTCTACAGCTTGTCCGGAACAGTAATTTTCAAGTTTTAAAAAGGATTAAATCATAACTACACAACATAATTTTTGAAGTAGGTACCTAAGTAATACCGAAATAATATATTAACCTATGCATTTTATAATGTTTTATTTTTAAATTTATATAAGACTAACTGGTTTAGCGATATTAGGCATTCAACGATATATTGAAATTAATGTAGAAGTGTTGGATGATATATTTCAAAAACTTCAAAGAATGGATATTATTTTATGATATAACTGAAAATAAATGTATAATATTATAAATGTTGGTATAGTTTAAATAAAATCATGGCATATAAAAATGCACTTTATGGAAACTGGAAAGGTATGATAACAAGAGAAGCCAAAGGGATAGATATCATAGGGGATGTTTTTCCCCCTGGCTCTTAATGGGCAAAATAGTTTTGGTCGTACCACTCGCTGGAAAAAAATTCTAGATACGCCACTGGTAGGTGGGAAGTTAGGAAGGTAGGATACAGAAGGGTATTTAATTTTTATCTGTAAGCAACTGATAAACCATTGCTAACGAAAAAACGATTCTGAGCGGAGTTCAGTTGAAAATGTATCACTATGTCAACAATATGTCATATTCTGGTAAAATAATTAAATTGGCATTACATAATATATATTTTCTTTAATAATATTTGTTTAATATTGTATCGATTTTCCTACGTATTTTTCCCATTTGTTGAGAAAACTCCTGAGAAAATCGAAAACTGACGCCTCTAAAGTACCTTCTCAGTCAGATTTTTTTTAGAAAAAAAACTATCATTGTAAATCGGAGCAAAAGTTGTCAAACAGAAAAAAATTGTATTATAATATTTTACTAATATATTTCGTACATTCTCCCGGTTTTCCTCAGCTTTTTTCGGTTTATCACATTTGTTGATAAAACTCCTGAAAAAATTGTAAAATGACCTCCTTATAGTACCTCTCCAGTCCGATTTTCTTTCAGAAAAGGTGCATCACTTAAAAATCGAAGCAAGATATTTGGTAGAAAGTTGTTCACTGATAAAAATAATAATAAAATAAATATCTATGTAAAACCATAAGTTTCTTCGCTCCACCCAGAATCTCAAATATATATTACTGTAAGATATTAATGAATCGGTGTAAAAAATAACAAATAATAAAATTCAGTCCATTAAAAAGTTCTTATAACAATGTTTCACACATCTATCTACTGGTTTTATTATTTTAAAAAATGTATTTCTAAATTTTGGTACTAAAAAGGATTTTGATACTGACACTGCGTTAGTAGTAAATAACGCCATCCAATATTTTGTTGAATAAAAAATCACTAATTTTGCAAATAGCATCGTTGACAAGCATTAATTCAGTACTAGATTGTGGTACTATAACGGATTTTTATGCTGGTACTGGCGTCGTAAAGTGTGCATACGGAAGATAAACCCCACCCCTCCTGTGTAACTTTTTCCTGAGCAGACTGCTAATTTTGTAAATAGCATCGCCAGCACTGATTCAGCAAGAAACTGACAGTGAATAGAAAATCATTGCTCAGTATTCGTACACTAACTTTACAGACCTACGCAAATGTAGGTACCAAAGTCCAAACGTTTAATGTACGGATTACAATGATTGCTAAGTGTGGAAAGGGTACACGTTTATAATGCCACGCTCTAAATATAAACGCGTTCTAAACATCCTGAATTTGAAAATATTTCACTGCAAATATACCTATCCAAAAGGCAAAAATAACTGTTACTGAATAATTTATTATAGTGATATAATATTAATGTTATTCGGTTGTTGTGCTTGTGACGTATATTTCTCTGACCACACTCACATTCAAAATATTAAACAAATCCAATTTATTTTTGGTTTAACCGACAGCAGTGGGATCTGTTTTCATAATATTTCCTTATTGTTGCCATCGTTTATTAAGAATAGGCAATAGCAGGTATACAATATGCTTACAAATATACACGTTAAAGGATGCGTGGGAAAGTATTCTACTACAACCATTAACATAAAAAGCTCAGTTGAACTTAACTTAACGAACTTAAACTTAACTACTGTACATGTTCCAAATATTCCCAGCCAGATGATGAATCCACTGACTTGGAAACCCGTTTGGCCCATGCTTTCCGCGATCCAATTGACGGAACCCGCTAGTCTGGAGTCGTATTCGGGAGATTTTTCATCACTCGGCGGATCAAGAGCTCGCTGACCTGATCAGAAGGTCAAACGGCTGGGCGCCAGTTAGCCCTCGCCTTGACTTTTCTTTTTCTCTCGTGCTGCTTCTTGCGGTCCAGGATGTCCTCTACTATGGAATAGAAAGACTGTGAGCAGTATGAGCAGTGGACAGAAACTGACGAGAGCTGATCGTGTCTGACGTGATCCTAGTTCCGAGACAGGAGGTCAAAAGGGCTGTAGAGCAGATTCTGAACATCACTAGAAGTAATGCTCCCGTTACCAATGAACGCCCTGACTGACTGACAAAAAGGTTCGTCCCTTTCAAAAAATCACGTGTTTCGCCGCGTCTCCAGGGAACAGATAGTACAGACACTTAGCGGCCGAGGCACGCCTCATGCGATGCAAGTAGTGCCTGAAGCACGCTATATGTATTATACCGTTATATTATCTTTATATTGTATTATACCGCTATAATATACTGTGGTCTGAAGCAACCGTGACCCGATAGAGCCTACGTCACGTGATAAGTAAGATCCATGGGGTGTCTCGTCATCCATCTCGTTAGATCCTAAGGACTCTAGGATCAAAAATTCCTTATTGTAAAAACATGAAATTGGAGCATAAATATGGTTACGGTAGTGGTTTAAAGTTAAAACAACCCCCAAAAGGTACATCCTTGATACATACAGCATTTCATCCTCTTTCTTTATTCGGGGATCTCTGAGGATGTACCAACAAAAATTGAAAAACACCTTTCTACTTCAACAATACATGGTTAAATTTGAAATTGAAATTCAACCAAAATTATATTACTTTGATCCGTAAAACAACTCTAATTTCCGAGTTTAAGTTCATTTATTCTAGAGAGTTAAGGGAGTCGCCAAATGTAGTGGGAATAATATTTATGTATATAACAGACACACAATTAAGTCTCTATTTTCGGAGAAATTTCGACAAAAAGCACATATATAGTAATACTAATAAGTAGCGATGATCGCTGCGATCAGCGTTAAAAATTCTCATAATCTATCAGGTATTTATTTTTTTTGGTTCTCTATACATAAATTTCGTCTTATGTGATCGTATTGTTACAGGAATTACAGATATATAACAATAAGTATATTATGTACGAGGCGTTTGTATGTGCTAGTGAAATATTATCTCAAAAAAAAATTTTAAAAAATTTCGCGTTCCCTAAATCCATTTCTTACGGGTGGTGTAGTAAAATAGATCGAGCCGAGATAAGAACAAGGAACAAAAAAAAAAATATTGAGTCAGGTATAAGGATGACGACTTCTGCTGCAGGGCCTACCCCGCTGCACTGGGCAATGTTTGGTTGTCCGGCGTCTCCACGGCAACACAATTAGCATGCCCGTCTAGTGGTCAGAACCGGCTAAGTCTTTCCATTTCCATTAAAACCGCCGAATCCTCGAGAACGTTTACACTGTACAAAAACGCCGTACACAGGTCAGTACCGACAGCTAATAGTCACGTATCTAGTTGATGATAATAATTATTATTTAGCGATTTGTTGTAACCGCGTGGAACATTTAATTTTGTTTTCTGTACTTGACCTTTCTTTATGACGTTCGTTTTTTGTTTTTTCATGTAATACTTTATAAGTATACGCGCGATTGCTGCGAGACAGGTGTTTGTTTTCAAAGTTTTTGCGCACACTGTATATAGGTTCCTATAGTTATTAAACTTTTAACGCCAAAATTATACGGTAGTTTTCTCCCCCGTCTAATGGGATTTTTCCCGATAAGGTTTATGTTTTCGAGTTTGTGGCGATGGCGTAGTTATTATAACGTAACACGAATTTTACCATACCATTTCTAGTTTTCCTATTGTTGTCGACAGTTGTCGAACGTGAAATACTCATCATAATATTATAGTTCTACACTAATTCTACATACGTTCATGAAAGAAAAACCATTATTATAATAATTTGAAAATATCTGAACACT